ACCCCTCCCTTACAGGCTTATCCATCAAAAAGGTCCTTTGTAGTTGTATGTACTTTAAAGGCTCCTCAGTGCCTCAGTAATGCATTTCAAGTACTGGAAAAGGGTAAAGCACAGCTGTCTTACAGAGTCTCTGCCAAATCTGAATCTGCTTTGTGATTTGGCCAGTCCACTCCTTTTTTTCTTTTTTTCCCCTGAGTAAATTGTCATTCTTCATCAATTTAGAACTACTGCTTAAATATGCATTACACTTCTACCAACATTCATGAGAAGCAGTGCAGGTGATTTTTTGTTTACCTCACAGAAAAGTTTTGATGCACTTTGGCTAAATATTAGCGATATACCAGAAGGAAACAATGTACTGAATCCCAGTATGTACAGATTGCTTTAGTTTCATTTCCTACCTTTGATCAGTTTCTCAGATATGGATCCACTTAACAGTGTCATTAATCAAAATTCGAATGTATACTCCACAATAAGCATCAATACACTGACTTGTATGAGGAAGGTAAAATTAAAATCAAAGTGTATAGTTTAGGATTGTTTGTTATTCACGTTTGTGTTCAAATATTTTGACTTCATAATACGAGTAACCTCTTGTAGGAGTTAGCTATACAACAACATGTATATAATTACACTACGTATGTGTTCAGTAGCACAGGACTCTCATCCCAATTTGAAGCCCCCTTCCACATCCTTCAACTCTTTGGGTACAAGTTCTTCAGTTTTCTCTCACCAGGAAATGATAGTGGTGTGGAACTGACTGTCTCCTGGAAGCCCAATTCCTACCGCTGCAGTGCTGCGCCTCTCTCCAAACCCTGATGGAACTTTCCATGTCAATGGAGTAAAGCTACTGCTGCGTTCCTTGTAGGGAGACAAATTGTATCAAACAAACTCACCGTTAAAATCAGTCCTGTATTCTAATATTTGGATTTAATTGCAGATGTGGAATTAAAAACATCTTAGATGTGTGTATATGAAGATTATCAGACTTGTGGAACCCAAAGGATCTCTGACTCTTGCAGAAAGACTCCCTTTCTAAAAGGAAGACCTAAGCACTTTACCAATCCCACTTTTTGTGTATATGTGTGTTTCTTTGACAATGTTCAGCAAAGCATTTTCCTGCAGTACTAGAAAAGGTATTTTGGTGTAGTAATTGGATGTATTTACCCCTTAGTAAAGGGCTGTGAAGAGAAAAATAACTTTTATAGTGAGTGGCACCTTCAATATGCCAAGTTAAATTCATGTTCATTGCCAGACAGACAGTTGTGTCAATGAAAGGATGTGTGCTTATATGTGGAAAAGCAGAGGAACAGTGGGTAAGTTCTGTAACATTTCAGTTCCAGTGTCATTGCCATTGTGGGTTACCTCTATGTGTTGTCTGTAGCAATCTCAGTCTCTTGACTGAGAAGGGTTTTTCCCATGTGTTTCCCCAGATTATATTCTTAAATAAATGGACATGAGGCATTTAGTACTGAAGAAGTATAAAAGCTAAAAGGCAGAACTACCATTCCCCTGGTTTCATTCAGAGATGAATTTTTTATTAGAAATGTCTGAAAAGATGTCAGAGAACTACTACACAGAGGACTCAAGAGGCATCAGAATTAATGGCCTGATTTGAACGAAAATAAAGAATCTGTGTCCATTGTAAGTTTCATGCCTAACTATAGAGACTATTCTAGGCACCTCCATAGCTTAAAAAAAATTAATAAAAGGTTACAATACTTTGTCAGAATTTAAGACATGAGTTTAGGTAACCCTGTGAGCTGAGGAAACTGGAAACTTTCTAATTTGGTTAGCTTTTTGTTTCTTCTTGTAACTTAGTTTGTCATGTCATTATCTAAATTGCCACCTCTTTAATTCATAATATTTTGTGAGATGATTGATGGTGGCACATGCTGTCCCACTGGAAACCAGTGCAGATAAATATTACATTCCCTTTTCCCCAGGAAGGAGGACAGTTTATTAAGCCTCTATTATTCTTTGTGAGTAGAGATGAACTCATACAGAAAGCACAGTTTGAATTGCTCAAATGCTGGTGGTTAATTCTTTGTTTTGATTGTAAGTATCCACTAAGTCATGTTACTGGATGATTAGCTTTTCATTTCCAACAGAAAGTCCTACTTGATATTTATGTATAATTTAACACCACGTAGTGTCCCTCATGACAGAAAAATAGGCAGGACCATGCTGTACGGGAGACAAAGGAGGTTTTTCATTCAGCGGGCTGCACACGGACAGGACAGTTTTCTCCCAGGCTGGCAAGCTTGTCGACAGAAGAGAAGGGTTGTGCTGCGTGGCACTACTACCCTGTGAGATGCCTGCCTCTTCTCTGCCTGCCCACCTCATCTCCTTTGCCACCTGCCTGCCCACTCATTTAAATAGCATGCTCTCTCTTCAGTGATATCTCCTGCAGTAGGCTGGCATGCCAGACGTGTTGCTCATTTATTTCCTGTTTTATATTGATTTCAGCCACATTTTCCTGATGTGTGCATTCTGTATCTGTTTACTTGGTGGATTTAAAAAAAAACCACTATAGTAAAAGATTGTATCTCCAATTCCTTCTGTAGCTTTTTAACTACAACCAGATAAAGCTCTGACCCTATCAAATAAGAGTAACATATATATTAACTGGAAAATATTTGTGTCTGGTGTCCGTTGCTTTCCATTCCCCAAGCTTGTTTGTCTTCTTACTTTTGTGATCTCCTTAAAAGCAGATAACAACCAAAATGGTATTGTATGAGGAATGAACAGTCAGAAAGTTTTTTTCTGAATGGGAGAAAGTCAGATGGACAGTCAAGGACTCTGCAGATATATCATAATTTACTCATTATTTTCCCTGTAACTTTTAACCTTGATATCGTAGGTCGAGGCCAATGAGCAACTGCAGATACAATTTTAAAAAGGTTTCTATTTTTTTTATCAGTGATATTTGCTAGCCTTATACTAAGAACCATGGGAAATTAATATCAAAGAGGTTAAGGTAGCATTACTATTTCAGAATAAATAATATTAAAAATATTCTTCTGCTGGCATAGTTGGGTCACATTTGAAAAACCTCTCACATCTTTGTGCTTGCATGACCTTCAGGATTTTGGAAAACAGGAGTCCTGAATCATGTGAACGTGATGAAAAATTACCATGAGGCTCATGTGTGACTCAGACAATTTTGAAAAATGTATTCTTTGTGAATGGAGCTTTCACCACTTTTTGACCATATTGAGTGCACCGTGTCCAAGTAAGAATGCCTCATATTTGCCAGTTATGTTGCTTTGCCACATATCCTGGTCTTTCTGACTAGCTGTAATGGAAGACAAGCTCCAGAATAGTTACGACAGTGTGGGTTTGGATTTATATTGGCATAGCATTTAATGCACTGATGGAAGTCTGGGCTCTGGTTAGTTAACTACAGCTTTCAAAGTGTGGTGCTCACTCATCCCTACTTGAAACAAGTCTTGTATTTCATTACTGCCTCAGGATAAGGATAGATGGATAGTGATGACAGAATCAAAACATAAATGGGATAAGAGTTATTCTGGGGATTTATAACATTTGCCATGTTAGTGTGTTTTTCCTGTAGTCCCTGAAGACTGTTTGATGGTTTAGGGAAAACTTTGAAAAACATGTTGGTTAAAGTCAATTCACATATAGATAATCTTCATTTTTAGTAACGATGACATTTGTGTAAAACTTTTTGATTCAAATCTTTATTACAAATTATACATGTACCTTCCTCTCTAATTTTTTTTAGTGAACCAACAGAAATTCTCTACCCTAATACTGTATGTGCACACTGATTTTACACTTACACTCTTTTTATTTACAAGTAAAACTGTGACCGTAAGTAATCACCGGGTACACACAGATAGATGCTCTTGTCAGTCTGAAGTAGTTTCTGCATAATAGCTGCAGAAGGAATATGCCAGTGTCAGCATGAAGGGTGAAAGCAGAGCAGCATATGGAAAAGCCTACTGTTGATAAAATGCATTGGAGAGAACTTCTCTTCTGGACATTTCTCAAGCCCTTGCAGCCCTTGTAGAAAGGTCAATGTCTTAACAAACGCCCGTATTATTTTTTTCTGTCTTCCTTCCTTTGGCCCATGGCTGAATGTAATCTGTCTTTACAACCATCAACAAAAACGTTTCTTATTTCATAAGCAGTGTAAAACCCCTACTTTGGTGAGAAGCGAGGCTGAGTAAGGACTCCAGATTCTTGCCTTTTGATTGTTGTGCGTGAATGTAGCATAAAAAGTACAAACTGTCCAACTGAAATATATCAGTTTTCATTTTCTCACTAGCGACTCTGTTGTTTTGGATAATACCCAAAATACCACAGCAGTTTCAGTGTTTTGATTCCTGCGTGCTCAGACAAAGAAGTTCCTTGTGCTCCATTCGGTGTCCCTCTCCCCAGATGGCTTTCTCTACCTCCTGTTTGTGCTCTACCTTTTTAGCAAATAGAGCTGGGAGTCCATCCTGCATTTGACTGTTTGAGTGTTAAGGGAACAAAGTACGTCCTCTGCAGACAGTTGAATCCTGCCTCCAAGATGAAATGTGAGAGTTTGGTTAGCTGGTATGAAAAGTAAACAGGAAATAATCCTTAGAAATTGGAATCTCCAGCTAGTCTTTTAACTTTTAGCTGTGTATTTTTAAGAGATCCTTTGAACATGAACTTACTTGAACTTTTAAGGCTAAAGAG